TTACTACAGTCTCTGTCTGAGGTGGACGATCCGACAGACGGACGCACTGCAGGGGGTGCACTTGTGTAGTGCCAACTCCCTCTCCTCCAGGGGGTGCAGCTCCCTCAGCTCCCATTACCAGAGATGCCTCCACACTGCCCTCTCAGCCACACTGTGCCTCAAGCTTGTCTGCTGGTCCCCTCCATGGTGCCCTGCCCCAAGAGTGCAGTCACATCCAAGGTGACCTGTCTCCCTCCTAGCTGTGGTATGTGCCACACCTTTGATGAAGGGACCTAAGGTGGCAGAGCCATTTTCCACAGAGTTGCACACCAACTATGTGTTCCACATTCTCTTCACATGCTAGGGTTGAGGGTTTTTTAATACTTAAAAAATGCAGAAACAATTGGGCATGACAGCACACGCCTTTAATCCCGGCACTTGGGAGGCAGAGGCAGGGAGATCTTGGTCTACATGGTGAGTTTCAAGCCAGTCAGGGCTACACAGTGAGACCTTATCTCAAACACAAACAAATGCAGAAACATTTTTACCCTGAATCTGAACAAAAAGCCTGCTGGGGTCACTGGGCTGGGAAGCCCAGTTAGAGCTGCGGTGGCCCACAGCCCTGGTCCATGCCTTAAGCCTGATCTTCCTGACCACCGCACCGTGAGTTGGCCTGAGCTCGGCTGCAAAGCTGCATCGAGGCCAGCACTTAGTAGGGTCTGTGCAGTACAAGAGGCTTCATGGGAGGCCTGCTTTCGCTTGTGAGTTGTGGGGAGGCTGCCACCACAATCGGGTGTCTGTGCACCATACCATAGTCTCACCCAAGTCTGATAGGCAAAAGAGCTTCCTTTGCTTGACCTAATTCCTGAGGGGTAACTGATCAGTGTTCTGTTTCAAGAAGCAGTCCCTGAAGCAAGAGGAGGGCCATGGCAGGCGACAAGGGCCAACCAGCTTGATGGAGCTTCCCAAACTCAGGCTGTCTGGAATGACCAAACTGTCATCGTGTTCTAGCCCTGCACTGCGGTCAGTGTTGGGCACAGGAGCGAATGGAAGAGTCCCTGTGTTGAGACCCCTGAAGTGTGCTGTTGTGAACAAGAAGGTAGTACGTCTCTAGCTTCTCTGTGGGGCTGCTCTCGGGCCTGGCCTCGGCCTCCACTCAGTGTCTATGGTTCTTCTTCACCAGACAGACACGCAGAAGGACATCAAACCTCACCTGAAACACTATCACCTGCCCACGATCAACAGGAAAGGGGGCGAATACTGAACAGCATGCCACCAGGTCGTCCTCCTGGAGAGCAAGGGCTGCCTGGCACCATGGCAGGCTTAGGCCTCTGCAGCTGAGAGTGGATGGGCCAAAGGAGGCCCCACGTGCTGGCACTCCTCTGATGCTTGATGGCCCAGGACATGCTGCCTTGCAGCCTGTCTCTCCACAACCTGGAGCCTCATGTGTTTGCAACTCCAAAGCACCTGTACTGGATGTTTCAGTTTAATATATTTGTAAAACCACCTCATTCAAGGGTTTTTTCATTTTCTTATTTAAGGATCTGAGGTGACTTTAGATGAATGAACAGATAAGAGGGGCGTGGTAGCTCATGCCTGTCACTCTAGCACTGGAGAGGCAGAGGAGGAAGAGCCCAGCCTGGGCTACATAGTGAGTAGCCTTGCCTCAGACAAGTAATAGACCAGAATCTGTGCTGAGTGACGTAGGATTGGTTGAGAGGTGGTTGTGCATGCTGCACGGGACGGTTTTCCTGACAGGACTGGCAGGGGTCGAGGCTTTGTGGCTGTGGTACCTCATAGGAATGCTGGTGGGGACTGCATTCCACTAAGGCACTGTCACAGGATCTCATCAGAACAGTCTCCACTGAGATGTGTTTGGATCCACTCCTTTGTGTTCACCTTCCTGAGCTGCAGATGGGGGGAGGGGCCTGATGTCCGAGTGCTTCTCAACTTCAAGTGGTGGCCACGTTGTCTAGGCTGCCAGTGCCTAGGCTCCCTTAGAGATGCACAGCCAGTTGTCTGATTGCCAGTGGTGTTGCTTGGAGCAAGTAGGAAAGTTGGGCACCTTGTGCCAGGGGAAAAAGAGACTGGGCTAGGGAGATAGGATGTGGGTAAGATGCTTACTGCATCAGAAGAGGATGTGAATCAGGATCCATGGAGTCCATGTAAAAGCTGGGTACTGTTAGATCCCCATAACCCCACCACTGGAGCAGGGAATAGTACAGGATGGGAAAAGACAGAGGGTCTCTGGAGCTTTCAGGCCGCAGTATACCAAAACCCAGCAAGCTCCAGGTTCAGTGAGAGACTGTCCCACGGGACTCAACGGGGCGGAAAACAGTAAATGGCACACTAGGTGTCCTCTTATGCACATGGGTGCACACACCAGCACACAGTGCGTTCTCTCTCTTTCTGTTTCACTACAGTGAAGGGATGGAAACACTGTAAAAGAACAGCACTGAGTGGACTCAGGGTAGCTGGACTTCAGGACAAGACCCTCCTAAGCTCCTTAGGGTTTGTTTTTGCTTTTGCCGTGCTGACGGTCGAATCTGGGGCCCCATGCACTCTGGGTAAGCACTCTTAGCAGTAGCCTAGCCTCTGTTCAGCTCTGGGGAACAAAGGAATTGAGTATACTATACCTTCTTTTTTACCTTTTCAAATTTACACCATTTAAAAAGCAAAACTTAACAGGGAAGTAAGTGTTGAGTCTCAAATCTCTGACCCTTCCTTCAGGACTCTACTGACCCAAGTTTCAGGCCACCAGACGAGTTGGGGCAGTGATGCCATAGGATGACATGGGACAGCAGAGGGCAGTACGGTCATGGAGCACTGTGGGATGGGTGTCCAGCACAGGCAGGTTAGAGACTGGAGATGAGGCTTAGCACGGGCAGAGCCAGGGTCCGGTGGGTGTCTTCTGCATTCATGTGACAGTCTCGTGTGCCCTGGCATGGTGGAGAGAGTCTGCAGGGAGGCCTGGCCTGCCTTTGCTGTTGGTTTAGGAGTCTCAGTCCAATAGGCTTGCAGCCAGGCGAGCACAGAAAGGGCCCAGAGATGGAAGCAGCAGAGTGGTCCTGACAGGAATACCCAAAGGAGGACCTGCAACTGGCAAGCTGGGCTGAGCATGGGTAGCAGACCTTGGAAAAGTTGCATCAAGGACCCAAGAAGAAACCTCTCGGCTTTCTCTGCCTCCTGTGGGCCTGGCATACCTGCCTAGTACACCAACTTCTCCCTGTGTCTTAACTGTCACCACAGCAATCTACATGGAAAGGCCAAGAGTCTCACCATTCCCTGAAGTCCTAACATGTCTGTAGACACTAGGATGCCGTGTTTCCTCTACCTCAGACCCTCAGAGTGGCACTTGTCAAGTCCTACAGTACCAGGTAAGTGAGCTGACTGTCACTTCCTATGGCTCCAGGACCTGCGGCATGCCGGGTGTCCGTGGTGTTGGGGCAGCTATAGAACCATATAGAAGGCGTCTCAGACCACGTGGCTAGGGACTAATCTTAGAAACAGAGCCAAAAAATTGTCAGGCAAAGTCCTCTAAGGTAAACTGGGACACAGCAGGTCCAATGAAGACATTGGGCGACACAGACTGGCTGAGGCAGGGACCAAGGCCCCTGAGTAGTGGTTAGCAAGAGCTGTGGGATACAATTGGAGCATCTCTTTAAATGGCGCTGAAGTTTCACACAAGTACTTGCTGCCCTGGTGGCCACCTGTCACTTCCTACAGATGGGAGCATCTAGGACAGAGCCGCTCTGGAAGGTCACTGGGCTCCGTGCTACAGGCTTGGGTTTCGAGGGCAGTTCCTAATCACTTTCTTGTGGGTGTTTGGACTCAAAGCACTGAGTTTTTCTGTGTGATCAATGCTTCAAGATGACAGGGACACCAGACTGCAAAATGTGCCAATACTTTCCTCTAATACGATCTGAGCATGTGATTTATAAATTGTTTTACTTGCACCATGAGCGGACTCAATGCTACCAACCCTCATGACCTAACTTGACTACCAGAACCCATATGGTAGAAGGAAAGAAACAACTCCCTTGAGTGTCCGCTAACTTCCATACGCATACACTGAGTCTTCAGTGAGGCACAATGGTATACGCCTGAAATCCATGCACTGAGACTTGGTAGGCTGAGGGAGAATGACTGTCCATTCTGAAGTAATCTAAGCTACACTGTGAGTTTCAGGCTAGCCAAGGCCTGTCAAAACAACACTACAGAACAAACAGGAAGAAAGTGTGAGTCTTAGCGTCCTGTGTTGCACCTCTCCAAGGCTGAGGCAAGGCTAGAGGAGGCCCTTGCAGGCATCAGCAGAAATAGGTGGCTTGCCCAGCCTGGGAGCCAGGGACCTGCAGTGAATGAAGACAGACTTGGCCTTTGCATTGGTGAACCGCACAGTAGCAGGATCTGTGGCAGCCACAGCAGTTAAAAATGCAGCCCGGCTAGCAAGAGCCCCGCACTCCTTCCACGCGCCTCGGTTTAATGAGCGCATTTGGAGAAATGTTTCAGATACCTTGTGGCTTAGTCTCCCTCACATAAAGCCTTCAAGGGCCCAGCCGTGTGTGAGTCTTTAAAAGCTGAGAAAGGGGGTCCTCTTGCTTGGAAATCCGCCAGCTACAGGTGAGCAAGGAATTCCACCTGCACAGGAAGACACAAGCCTGCTGATGCCAACCCTCTGGCAGCCCCATGTGACTGATGTCTGCGCTAACTCAGTCTGGGTGTTGCTGTTGACTACAGTTATGTGGTCTCAGCTTTCAAGGACAGCAGGTGGCCTCTCAGCCATAAGGAAAAGGCTATGTGCCTACTACCAGAGTCCCCATTCCTGGGCAGCCCCAGGGTGTGTGGACTTGGCCCAGAGCCAGGAATTCTCCACCAAGGCGTGTTTTTAATAGTCAGACTGACAGGCGGGATCAAGGAATGTGCTACACAAAGAATGAAGTACTTCAATACCAACCAAGGAATGAGGCCAAAACAAACAAAAAGAACCATACAATTTAAGTTAAAAAAGGATAAACAAATAGTATATTCAAGATAATTTTAATATTAATGTTTTTGTGAATTAGAAATATCACTCTTAAATGATGAAAATTACTAGTGGGAGTGACTATCCCCCATTTCAGAATTACATTATTTACACATAGAATACAGACTTGATTGCATTGGAAACAACAGTACTAAAATAAATGTTAACAGATAAAAAGGGGAGTCTCCACTCCATACTGTGGAGGCCGGGAGTCCGCCACCCCCATATTCAAAGTCATTCTCTATTAGCATTAAACTATTTTAAGTGCAAACAATTTTTTAGGTCTATGATTGCAGCATCTGTCTTGTCTGCAGCACGTGCTTAAGTCAGAAGGTGACAACTGTCTCCATGAGTGCATCCCAGGCTGTCCAATGACCACCTGAAGTATAAAACACATCAGTGCAAAACCAGAGCCAAGTGCTATTTAGAACAGCTCGATTTAAGGTTTCCTGTTCAGGAAACACTTTACACTATGTATATATGTATATATATATATTATATGTATGGATTTAGTTACACTGAGTTTTGAGTAAAAAGCAAGAAGCCTCCATTTCTCAGTTTTTACTGCACCCCCAACAGACCGACTTAGAAATGGCAACAACTCTTTGGGTTTAGCAGCTCCGCACAGCCCTGCAGGCCGCTGCCGCCTGCCGCCTGCCTGTGGCTCCAGCGCAGCTCTTGGCTCCGTTGTCGTCTGTCACTCCCTCAGTCCACTCGTGTCCGGGGGAGCCTGGGAGCAGCAGTCAGCTGCTACACTACAGTCCCACCTGGAGAACTGGCCTGGTTTGGGGATGACAACAAGCCCTGTGAACAAAGCAGTTTACATTATTCCAGCAAGACACAGGGCAGCGCAGCGAGCCTGGCGCTCACCCTCGTCAGCATTCTCGCATGCCTTTCCCAGGGCTGGAAGCCAGGCTTCAACACACTCCCTGTTCGCCTAATTCCTCTCAGAGCATTGCACTGTGCCTGGATTGAGATTCTGCCTCAGCAACAGCTAGAAGGAAAGTGGAGGTGTTTGCAGAGGACATCAGAGCCTTTAGGAGAGGGTGTGGCTTAGACAGTGTAGCTGAGGACAGGGTCGCCAGCTCCACCTCAAGTTTGCCAGGTTCAGAGCAGGCTCTCTGAGCCAGGTGGTCCTCCAAGGACAGTCTAGTGGCACTTTTTAAAAGGCATCTCCTCCTGGGGCACATGTGCTCTCGTTGAGGCAGCACCCCAAGCTTTACTTTGGCCGGTGGATGGGCGCTGCAGGTGCAGAAGGGGAGACAGGCCCTGCTGGGGATTCCTGCAGCTGCCATGGGTAAAGGGAGGAGGAGCTCCCCACACTGGCTACCACAGCGAGCCTAAGCGAGCTCAGAGCCAAGGGCACTCACTCGTGGGCTGTGTGCGGTTCCATCAGAGTGTGGTGCTCATTTCTTAGGAATGTGAAGGGTACAGTAGAGCAGCATTAGAATTAAAAACCGGGTTCCATGGAACTAAACATCTCTTAGCTGTCCCAGAAGAATGCTTTACTTGTTGAGTAGTATTTACAAATGGCAACATTTAATGCTAAGAAAACACTGCTACATGTTCATAGACTTTTAGTGCAGGAATGAGGGCTGACAGCTGTGACTGGGTCATCAGCTGCACCCCAGGCTGTATTGGGAGGGGGCTAGGGAAAAGCTGGCCCATTACAAGCCATTTGGCCTGTGGTCTATTTCTTGGTCTAGACAAAACTGAGAGGCAAGAATAGATGGAGTGCAGCAACGGCCCCTGCTCTGCATCTGTAGGAGCTCTTCTCCTCAAACCCCTGCCCAGATAATGAATGCATCAAAGAGCCATGCCCCTCACACTCCCTGCAAACCCATCAAGCCCGTGTGGGAAGGCTGCTGCACACAGTGCAGGACACGACAGCTCTGGCCCACCCAGCCCCAGGGTGAGGACAGCACACATGCAGCAGCTACTTGAGTATGGAACCAATTTTCTGTGCCTAGGCAGCACTGCAAACAGAGTCGGCCGGCCCTGTCCCTGTGGGTGTTGCCTCTCGCCATGGCCAGCCAATGGGAATAGTACCAGCCAAATAAGATATGCACAATCCTTAAACAATAATTACTTAAAAAACCAGGTGAAATAAATTTTAACTGAATACATCCTAACTTCTTATAGTATATAATCAAAATAAAAGTATTTTTTAAAGGCAAGTATATAAAAAAGCCTTGGAAGTACACTGCTTGGGAGTTGTACATTGCAACTTGGACAGGCCCCATCTTTGGTATTCAGTGGCCAAGTGAATCCTCATTGCCATGGGAATCCAGGGTCTGACAATCGCCTGCCTCTCCCCCGTTGAGTGTGCCCACCCTGGTGGTCTCTGCAACCCTTTTCCTTGCAATTCTGAGGACAAGGGGTTTCCAAACATAGGCAAGCAGGACTCCAGGCCTCTGGGTCCCAATGACAGTGGTACATCCTACTCTCACTTAGTGTGTCTTGTTAAGTCACCCATCTGTGGGCTGTAGAACACCACAACTCCCAGCCAGAGTCAACACATGCTCAAGGCCCTAATTGTGGTGATAGTCAGAAGCCAAGGAGAACCAGTCCTCATTCTCCTCCCCCATAGGCACTGTCCTGGCCACTAAGGCAAGGTGAGGGCAAGTCTCCTAAACCAGCAAGTTACATCTGCCTCCCGCTCACCTTCTAGAATTCCTACTCAAATGTCAGGAACTTGGGTTCTGGTTGGTGGAGGTTCACTTCTGCAATGTCAACCTTGGCCATGGAGCAGTGGTCTAGGACCTGGGACCCTCCACCATAGAGAGGAACAAAGTCTTGGTTACTGGGAAAGCGAAACAAGAAACAGACCTGGCCTCCAGTTCCTGGCCCTGTGGTCACAGGCTCCTGAGTACACCGGCCTGCTGGGGCCCTGGGCTGGCAGGGACGCAGCATGTTCAGCTGCTTCATATGCCCAGCAGAGTGTGTGAAGCTGAAACTGAAAAATGTGTGGACCAGGGAAAGGTCTCATTAGGGTCAGCCTGGGTTAGTCGGAGCCTGTCTAGCAGCAACAGCCAGGTGAAAACTGCCCAGCTTTGTTATTAAATATTAGAATAGTGACCACAACACTTGTTTACTTCTTAGAGATGCAGCTTTGTAGGATGAACTGGAGGCACTGGGACATGGGGGTGACATTCAAAAGAAAACGTGACACCGGGTGTGGTGGTACAGGCCTATAATCCCAGCACTAGGGAGGTGGAGAGAGAGGATCAGGAGTCCAAAGTCAGGGCTGCAGAGATGGCTCAGTGCTTAAGAACACTGACTGTTCTTTCAGAGGTTGTGAGTTCTGTTCCCAGCAGCCATCAATCTGTAACGGGATCCTATGCCTTCTTCTGGTGTGTCTGAAGACAGTGACAGTGAACTTAAAAAAAAGGAGTCCAAGGTCATCTTCAGCCATGTAGGAATCTGAGCCTGCGAGCTGAAGAGATCCTGTATGAAACCCCAGTATCCCTAAAGGAAGACAGTGTAAACTACACTTCTTCAGGGGTGAGCCCATGCTTTAGTGTAAGACTGTCTGGGACATGGAGGGGGACACATGGAGGCTCCACAGCCCTCCTCCGCCCACCCTCAGTGGGGTGTTGTTTTACTTCATCATCCTGATTCCTTCGCTTGGGGACAGATGAGTCAAGATTAGGACCTGGGCTCAGAGACCATCACACAGGAAGAACTTCTGTGTGCCTGCCCGGTATGTGCACCAGAGCGACCCAGTACCTACAAGGCCTCAAAAACAGCAAGCAAAAGCTCTCTACAACAAAGACAACCCCTAAACCAACGGTTAGCAAGCTCTCTGCTCTCACCAAAGCTGCCAACACTGCCGGATAGTTCAGTTCAAAATCACACAACAAAATTCTATAGGATTCTAATTTACGAGAAATACAAAGCCAATAGAATGAAGCCTATCCCACCAGGACACACAAGAAAACAAGAAAAACAAAGACTTATAAACCACCAAAGATCATGTCCATTTTCCTTTCCTGGCGGACACTGCTGAGATGGATCATACTGGGTAGACACTATACTATACTGTCAGGCTAGGTCCTGAAGTTCTGTTGGGCCCACATCAGCCTCCAGCTCTGGTTGTGGGAAAGCTGCCATTTCCCTATCTGACCTCAGCAACCTTTGACCATAAGCATCTGAGGGTACCTCAAGGAAACAGTGTAGGATAAGGTATGGTTGGGGCTGAGCACCCCAACTCTCACCCACCTAGTTGTCCAAAGCCATTTATCCCTCAGCTCCAAACAAAATAACACACAGACCAGCCAAGCAGACAGCCCCTGACAACTTAGAGAAAGTGACCAGTATATTCTATACTATCTCGGCTCGGAGGGACAGCTGGCCTTGAGGCCATGCCAGTAACTGCTCTCAGGTGGAGGCCAGGACAGAATTAAGCAATTAATGCCTCTTCAGATGGGGCACAAACAATGAGTGTCATCCCAAGTGATGACACCTGCACATGCTCTTAGCCCTTACTGGGTTCCCCTTATCTGTCTGAGCTTAAGAATCCATTGGTTTATCACATATCCTCCAAAACACCAGAGAGAACCTGGACAGAAAGCCACGGTCTGTGTAAGGTCCATGGAAGAGGGCAGCATGCCCAGACTCAATGAGACTGTTTAGGAAGCTCAGTGTCCATCCTTGCCTCATAGTCCAATGGCCTGGGACTCTGGCTGTGCTGGCTTGTCCCTTGACCTACCACTGACAGGCCACACTGAAAGTGGCACCTAGGGGTTATACAACCTGGTCTCTGATGAGAAAAGGGTTAATAGTCACTCTTTACAGACATCTAAGAAAAAAAACAGAAAATAAACAGTTCAAGGCTGAAGGCTCCTCAGAGGGTGTGCACTTAGAAAACATTTGCCAGCTAAGGCCCTCATCCTGGGCCCTGAAGTTTGTCGTGGAGGAAAAGTGGATCTAAAATCCTCTGAAGCTCATCCTTTCAGGGAGCTGCTCAAAGCCCACCCTAAAGGAGAGGCTGGTTTCAGAAGTGCAGCCCCAAGACAGACATGCTGCTCCAGACTAACTGAAACACACCACAAATGTCCACAGGTAGCCCTACATGGAGGGACAAGGATGACCTTTTTTTCCGTGCACACACTAGATGTGTGTGTGTGTGTGTGTGTGTTTAAAAAAATCAAATGTTATGATTTCCTTTAAGCAAAACTGAAAATGCCATTAGGACCTTAACGCTATTTAGTGCTGAGAAAAAGCCCTGTGCTGCTTCCGTGGTGGGAATCGGGAGGTCACTTTGAACTAAAGGTTTGAACGTCTCTCCTGCTTTGCAGGACTTGCAGCCAACCCAACCTGCACCCACTGAGTCAAGCGACACCCTGGAGCTATCTGTGAGGGCTGAGAGGCAGAGCATAGGCTTTGCCAGGCACCAGCCTGGAGGAGAGGCAGCTAAGCAAAAGCCCAGTGTCTCAGGAAACAATGGTGAGTGGGGCAGCATGGGCCTGAGGAGGAAGTATCTGGGCCAGCTCACTCTTATCTTGTCACCCGGGCAGGGACCTGTGGGTTTACACTGTCCATCTGCAATTCTTGCACGGAAGTGTTTGGAGAAGAGGTAAGCGATGAAGTAGTTCACTGAGGACACTGCTTAGAGCAGGACAAAATGAATGGCCGACACTCCCCATGCAGTGGAGTCACCTACTGCTCTTGCTGCACTGGGCTCTAGGTGATCCCAGTGGCCATCTCTCCCCCGCACCCCTCTCCCAGAAGCCCAGCAGGGGTGAGGTGGGAAGTCAGCTGAGAGAGGGAAGAGCTCCTGCAGAGGCCCACTGTGCCCTTGGCTCACTAGGCTGGCTAGGCGGCTGTAGAGCCAGCTGGTAGACAGCTACCTTCAGAGAGTTAACATCAACATTACATTGAAACCTTTTCACACTCAGAGGACCCCAGTGCCTCATTCGGAGCAGCTCAGAGTCTCAGATGCTCAGAGTCAGCGATTTGTCTAGTAAGCTGACTGAGAGACACAGGACCACAGGAAGGTCTTCCATGGTTTTATAAACATTAACAACATTAACTCTTAATGTTACAGCATTTAACAGCTTTTCCTTTTTGGCTCACTGAGATTCCTTTTTGTAAAGCTTAGATGTGAAAATGACTTAAAATGTATCTACATTTACAATGCATTCACACGTTTATTCAATGTCAATATACAGAGGACAGCCTCCAGTACTTCAGAAGTCAAGTATGTGCTAAGTCTTTTGCTGTGACGGGGACAAGGGAACAGCTAAAAGACAAAGCAATGGAACAGAAACATGGTTCTCAGGAAATGAATAACAATACTGATATTCAAGCTTCATAAGTTATTGCAACATCAGGAGCTCGGTTTCCTGGTAGTTCACAGCAGGAGGGCTCTTCAGGAAATTTATTCAAGTTGTGTAGAGATCAGATGAAAACGTAAGAAAGGAATACATGTTTTACCTTGACTTTCACTGAGATAAATATACCCATACAACTTTACACAATGTCACCTAATAACAATCTTTAAACCCAAGTACACAGAAGTTGAAATGCAGGATTTTCATACTTTTAACTCAAGAGTCAGGAATTGAGCCGTGACACGAAGATAATGTAGTAATTGCAGCATGAATGAAAACCTCTGCCTCACGGGCCAGTTGCTCCGTGAGAAGAGTTTCTTACAACTGAGTTTGGGATCCGAGTGTCAGGGTAACAGTTGAATACAAGTGCTTTTCCACAATGAGCTACAGGCTTTACCAGGGCCACACTGATATCTCTCCCTGGGACAGACACCACATAGCACTTGGATGAGCACCTTGTTAACGTAAGCCAGCTAGTGGTGGTTCAGTCAGCCCAAGGCAAGCAGCATGCTCTGACATAAACGGGGCATGGTGGCTGTGGTGGCTTCTCCCATGCATTCCCAGGATAGACAACAAACTCCAGCCAAGGCCATGTCTTCAAGTCAGTAGCAGGCCTACCCAGAGAAGTGCGTGCAGGCTCCACGGATAAGGGAAAGGGGACCTCAAGAGTGGACACACACGCCTCAGTGGTGCAACTGGCCCTGAACCAAGATCCATAAGAGACCACGCAGCCCTTCAGCCTGACTGCCCGCAGCATAGCCTGCACTCCCAAGATCAGCCACTGGAAAAGCCACCATTAAACTCTGCCCCTAGTTTCCCCTCAGGTGGCACTGGGTTCCACAGGATCCTTTCTAGCCCTGTGTCTCGCGTCTTGTTACCCCTCACACTTCTGAGCTTGCTCAACAAAGAAAACATCTCCCTCTAGCAAGAGGGGAGAGGACCTTGCACACAGGCAGGTACACGTGCTAAGGCAGGCTCACTTATGTTAGCACAGATCCAGTCATGTTTAGAATTAAGGATTCAGACTGCGTCACAGGAGGATGTGGAGGAGTGGCTGTGCCCTGGGTGTTTCAGACAAACACTATTGGTGACTATTGGTGGCCACCTGGGGTGAGCTGTGTGTATACATTCCCCAGAAACTGCAGCTCTGAGGCCCTTGTACCACCTGATTGCGGAGTGCCTTTGAGACACTGTGGCTGCTCCTCTCCACCTCTGGATTCTCTAATGGCATTCCCCTGCATCTGGATCTCAGGGGCTCCCAGAGCACTTCTAAACTCAACCACCAGGACAAACTTAATGTTCTTCACCCTGCGTGGGCTAATTTGGAGGTGGAAGCTACTAGCTGCAGGTATCACCTAGTCTCTCTGGAACATTTGCTTTTGAAAGAAGGTACAACTTCTAAGCCTCTCCAGAGGGCTGGGACCCGGCTCAGAAGTGCAGCACGTTTGGCAGGTGTTGGGTCCTTTGGCATAATCCCTGGCCCCACATGCACAGAAAAGGAAAACTGGATAGCTACAGTGAAGCTGGTTTCTGGGCAAGCCAGATGGGCAGGAGGTTCCACCTGTACAGAGGTGCCCTCACTGGGCCCCAGCAGGACTCTGGGCTATACCATGTAGACCGGGCTTCTGCCTGTAAGAACCTCTTGCCAAAAGCTGTTTTATTCCAGGAGCTAGTTACCAAAGATACTCTTGCTCATGAAAATGCTCAAAGAAGTTTTGATGAGGAAGCTCAGAGTTTTAAGAAAACTAAAAACATCTCCCCAGATTTCTCTGGGGCTACTGTAGAGGCACAGTGGCCCTAGTCCTCATTCTCTGGAGATCAGGAACCACCATGACAATTGTGTCCCCATGACCCCCCACACCTCTGTCTGCAGGCCCAGGAGGGAGGGTGCCCCGCCCCCCTCCAGCACCTGCACCCTCTTCTGGAGCTGCCGCACCTTTAGTTCTGGTCTTGGAGAACACCTTGCACTCTGTCCTCCTGCCTGCAGAACTGCTCTGCCGGCTGTCAAAGAAAGGGGGGCAGGAGTCAGTCAGGGGGGCAGAGTGGGTCTGGAGCAGCACCACGCCCTCCATGCAGGGCCCAGCCTGGGCCAGGTCATGCAGCTAAGTCAGCCCTTTAGAGCTGGCCTGGGCTCTTACCAAACCCTAAACCTAGCAGGGAGCCCAGGAGGGTAAGACACACACACAGCGAAGGACCCAAACAGGGTTCCCAGGTTAATCTCTAAGGACACAACATTTAGCAGCAAAAGTTGGAAGAGATAGTGACTGAACCCCAAATCACAAACTGTGACATTTTTCTGGGGATGCAGAAGAGAATTCATAGGTCTCCAGCCAAAAACATGGGCGGGGCCTGCTCTTTTTCCCCCTTTAAAGGAAGTAGTGTCCACCCTGTTCTGCCTCTCCCGCTTCCCACCAGCAAGTGACTCGAGTCACTCTGTCAGCACCCTAACAATTTCCCCTTGATCCCAGCTCACGGGGCTGGGAATGCTACCCGGGCAGGGAGTCTGTAAGCGCCCATTATCTGTGCTGGGTCCACAGATACACATGCAATGGTCCCCTGCCAGCAAAGAAACCCTCAAACAGAGAGATCACTATAAGTGTCACCATAAACGTTACTTACCTATGACTGGCCACTCTCTAGTTAGGCCAAACACAAAGTCCTGAATTTGGAAACTGCATACTCAATGACTCAGAAGCATTTGAAAGTGAATTTCCGAAACTGCACATGGAGTGTCTCATTTCTAGCCTGCCCACCCAGCAGCTCAATCTGACCTCTGCCGTCCTGAAAGTATACACAGCAGCATTCTTTGCTACCTCAGATCAGAACCCTATAAACAAAGGAGTCAATTTTCAGGGCAGATGGGCCATGAGCACCCTTGTGAAGAGTTAGCTGCTCAGGGACATGGAATGCCTTGGCACACAGCGAGATCCGCTGGAGACTGCCATGGTCTCACAGGCAGCACGTTCCCGTGGCTATCACATTAGACAGCAGCCACTCTCAAGGAGGAGGAGGTTAGGGATGGGGCCCGGATCCACCATGAACATGTAAGAGCAAGCCAAGGGGCTTGGGACATGGCCTGGCTTTCTGGAGAGGGAAGCCAGTAGCTGAGCACTGTCTACCAGAGTCTTGACCCCGGGAGACATAAAAGCCTTGCCAAGTCTTCAGTGCTGAACCATGTTCACTATCAGAGCCAATACAAATCATCAGTACTGCTATAGTTAATTACAAAGGTGTACAACACAGAAAAATAATCCTAAATGTTCTAAATAAATTAAGAAATAAAATAACTATCATTTTGACACAAAATACCCAGCTCAACGAACTATCTTCCACTGAGAAAACTAGTGTTTGAAAAGAAATTCCTTCAACATCTGCGCAGGACCTAAGCAGCTGAGAGCAAACTGCCACTTCTCCTGCCACAGGAGCAGCTGACACAGCACTGCTCCTGAGAGGACACAGGCCATAGAGGGATAGCACTTGGGCAGGACCTGAGTCCTACAGGAGCGTCTATCTCCGAGAGTCCTTGTACAAGAACATGAAGGGGGTGTGTGCTTCTGTGCTTTCCCCAAACGCCATGCCAGGAGGTGCAATGCAGCCTGGACACCTAACAGTCCACACAAGGCAGAACCCAGGAGCCTGTCCTTGACTTCCAGTCAACTTCCTGACCCTCCCCCTCATACAACAGAACAGACAGAACCTCCTTTCTGCTGGTGGGGAAAACCTAAGCTACGTGCATCTAACACGTGGCTTACGTGCATCTACTGACGTGGCAAGAGGCCTTCTGAAAGCCGTGGCTGTTGTCCTTGGCCACAGAACATCTTAACTGCCCAGGCTCTGGAACACGTGGAGATTTTAGTGCACAATTTCAATCAGAGTTCTACAAACTGCTTCTTTGAAAAAAGATGTTTATTAAACAATTTTAATTGTCATAAAATGACTAAAATGGGTTTTAAAAATTAAGGCTCTTCTCTTTCTGTGGATTGCCAGACAATGTAAAAATAATATCAATCAACCCTGATGAACGCTTTGTTCTAAGTTAAATTTCATAAATTCCTAAATAGTTTATAATTTAAGATAAAAAGTTGGACTATAAATGATAATTGATATCCATCTGTACTGACAGACACTGACCAGGTATACAACAATCTAGTTGAGTGGTTACGCAAAAAATATCCCAGTTAAAGCATAAATTTTGACTTTAGCATTTTAATGTCATTCTCCACACTGTCATGATTCCCCTAAAACTGAGATAGCCTGATACAGGAATGCTAACTTTGGGGCTCTATCTACCCAGAGGGACGACTGGCTTGGCTGGCAATTAGTCTGATTATATATTTTTTAAATGCTCTAAGGTGAATTATCAAATGATTCAGAATTACATGGCATGCAGTATCCAAAATTATGGCTCTGATGCATTTCGATTTACATTAAGACGTGTCATTCACATTCATTGTACATCCCACCCCTCCCACAAGAGATAAAAATCACTCCCTAGTCAGGTTCTAGATCTGGTGCAGCATTAAGGATTAAAACTTACCACTTTACCAGGCCTTGCCCATGTGCAAATAAATCCCTCCTGACAAGCAGTGACTATACAGTCTTCAAGAAAAACCAATACCGTCAGTCTTTCATGAGCTATCTTTTTACAGATCAGTGGCTCTAACAAGGGAACATCTTCCATCCGAGGACACAGGGATGTCCCCAGAGTTTTAGCTGGGTCCGTTTTGGCTTTAGTAACTAGGTTCAGTTTGTCACTGCTCTTGCTGGAAATGTGTCCCATACTATGGTTTCGTTTATGGTCTTTCTCGTGGTGTCTCTCCTTCCGGTCATGTAGCGACAGAGTTGCAAACTTGCTGACCCCAGAGGCAATGGCCCCGTCCATGACGCTGCTTTTGCTACCAGCATTGGAGACTGCTGAATGTGGAAGGCTATTGGACCGTGGCAATGGAGGGGGCACAGAGTTCCCAGGTGTAGTGACACTGTTGCCATTGCTTCCGGCAGGTGGACTTGTGGCATTCATAACGTTTGTGTGTGTCCTTGCTCTTGAGAGGGGCTGGTGAGGGAAAAGGATGTCTTCTGTAAGGTCCCATAAACACAGCTGCGTATCCTGGCCCACTGAACCAAACCGATACGTGACACTTACAGGGCGGCTGTCTGTAGAGTTCCGTTTGGATAGTCTAGACTGTGTACTGTTCGCTCGATCTCTGCCAAAATGAAGAAGGTCCTGGAAGTCCTCGTCACTGCCACTAAACTCCATAGGGTCGCTTTCTTCTACGCTAGTAGTATAGGGATCAAATGCTACAACACTGACCCATGATTTGTGCCCATGGCCTCTAGCTATTACTCGGCAGTCTAGAAAGGACCAGACTGTCACCAAGTCGTCCTCTCCACCTGTCACAATGTACTTGCCATCTGGGCTCCAGCACACACAAAGCAAGCCCCCAAAGTAGCTTTTCATTGTACCGTGTAGCTCCACTGAGTCAAAGTTGAACACACGCAGAAACCCGTCCTGGCTCACACACGCTAAGAACTTGCCATCTGGGGAGAAAGCAAACTCGTTGAGGGCCCCCTCGCCCACCGTCCACTTAAGGAGAGGGTTCCTCGTGGATTTGCTCTTGCAAGTGTGCACAGCAAAGCTCTCCCCCTGCTTCAGGAGCTGGTAGTGGGGGGCTGTGGTGCCACAAGTGTGCTCCACGTTATACAAGTACATGCTCCCACTCGAGTGGGCTACTAGGAAAAGGCTTTCCGAGCCGGGAACCCATCTGACACAGGTTACGCGTGACTTGTCTATTAGTCTCTGTGAAGACAAAGAGAACACATTATCACAATGGAGAAGTTAAGGTATACTTTTCCAGAAAAAGCCTGTCTGCTTCTTGGTAAGAAGGTGATGGTCCATTCAAGCCCTGCACACTTATCCTGTCAGCCAGGCCAGTGAAGCAAGCGCATGTGGCCCAACCCAGAACTGCACTTGGGTGTCACTCATTCAGTAACTACCTGCTGAGAGCCTATTCTGTGCCAGGTATCAGGTCCCGGGCACACCAGGGTGACACAGCTCTTGGCCCCTGATGGCAGGAGTGGCTGAAGGTTTTGCATCAACTACAGCAGCTTCCTCTCGATGAGGACTCACAGGACAAGTTTCAGTCCTCATAGCTTTCTTTGCCTTTGTCACTGTAGGGCACGCGCTGACTACACTGTCCCTTTTTGTGGCTGCTCAGGGGCAGGGAATTGTCTGTAGCCTGTGACCAGCAGAACACAGGATTTGAAGGCATACTTCCTGGGTGGGCAGGATGCAGCTCTGGCTCACCTTCACTGTGGCTTTCCTCAATCCAGACGATGGCCTGTGAGTATCTTAAACATCTCATTCTCTCGGGAACAGGATGGAGGCTAGCTCGGAGTCTGCTCGGCCACTCCCATTGTGTACCTTGCTCACCTCTGCCCCACTGACCCAGTTCCCTCTTCAGCTGCTTTATCAGTGCCTTGTCTTTAAAACCAAACTAACAAAAACAAGACATGAATGCCACTCAAGATAGACAAGATAGACAGAAGGGGCAGCCTTCTCTGTGCAGGCCCTGCTATAGGGCTCTCTGTGCAGACCCTGCTATAGGGCTCACTGTGCAGGCCCTGCTATAGGGCTCACGAGCACACGTCCTCCACAGGCTATAGTCTCAAGATTACATTACCAGAAATCACCAGAAGTCCCAATCCTGCCATGGAACTTTCAAAAGGTCTCTGCTAAGCCCACACTCTTTACTGGGTCAGCCCCAAGGGCTTAAGCACTTCCATTTTACCTAACTGGCTGGGGTTCCCCAACACAAATCTCAGAGAGCAGTCAGGGCACACTGGTATGGACTGGGGTTCCCCAACACGAATCTCAGAGAGCAGTCAGGGCACACTGGTATGGACCTGATGCCCAATTGGTCTGGTGACCATGTTTCCGAGATGCGTGCTGCTTTTACAAAAAATGATAAAAATGAAATACTGTGATTTTTAAAAAAAGAACAGAAGCTGGGGTGGTGCATGCATGAGGATCTGGGTCTCGTACACAGCACTAGAAGCAACATCAGTAAGGACAATGATAAAGGACAGGACAGAAAAGAAATGCAAGCTCATGCAAAAAGGGAAGACCTCACAAGAAATGGACTGCTAACAAATCACTGACAGAGAGACGTGGGACCCTAAGTGTCCGTCCATGGCATGGAGGCTGGAGCTTCAAGTCCTTAGGTTTAGGCAGAGATTGTCAGCTACCATTGCTAACTGGCATAGAGCGTGACTGGCATCTTAGACCAGTAAGTACTGCCTTTGGGGATACTGTCACCGTTTTTGTTCCCTGACTCCCATTTCGTGCTTGGTGACATGTCTATCAAGGGCACTTGCCTGAGCACCTGCACCCCTCCACAGGATCCCATTAGAGCACCCTCATTTCTTAGCATGGGGTCAGGTAACCTACATGGCTAGAGCACAGCCTTTAGGGAAAGAGCATGTTAGGAGAGGCCTCCAGCTCTCCGGAGCCTGAAGGCTCACAGCCGAGGCTCTGCATGTCCACCAGGTCAGGCTGCCCCAGCGCTCATCACTCTGAGCCCAGGGACAGGACTCTACCAGATGGGCATGTTCTAAGGGTGTCCATGATTCCCTGGGACGGGCTCTGTCAGGGAGCTCAGGGTTGAAGCCACACTGCTGGCCTGATCCTACTCCACTTCCCCCAATCACTATTAGTCCGTTACATGTGGAAAATTTTAAGGTCACAAAAGCTTCTAGCAGTATGATTACGAGTAAATTTTTAACTACAGCCTTAAAGTACAATGGAAAAATTCCACTGCAACTCAAAACAGAAAATGTAATCCTGGTAAGAAAGTACAGCTGAGTGTGATGGTGAGATACAGACAGCAGCAAGAGTGCCTTCAGGAGGCGCTACTGTGGTGAACAGATGCATTACAAAGCAATTTCACTCACGAACCAAAAGTATGCACTACAGTCACCCTAAGCCAATTTGTGCATGTAACTGACAGAGAAAACCGCACTACCATGCACTGTGGTATGCAGCCCTCACTGTTACCTTCTGGCCCTGGGAACTGGGCACAGCAGTGTGAGCAGTGACAGATCAAACCCCACAGGGGCATGGCATGACAAGAGGCTTTACATTCACAGTGTAATGCTGCAAACAACCCCTCAACAGTAGAGGCACTCCTAATTCATGTGGACGACTACAGCAGAAAGCCTCTCTTGGACTCCTCCCCTGCACTGGGGTTAGCTCATCTATCCAGAATGCATGCCCTCATAACTGGCAGATCCAGCACAACTCTCACCTCTGCTTTCCCTTCAATGATGCAACCTGTAATTTCAGAAATTCCCATGGACAGACGGCTGCCACCTTCCGGAAGCCCCTACTGTTCAGTGCCGGCCTTGACAGACTGCACAAGTATGGAGAGTACACACACCAGGTTGTAAACTTTAGAGGGGCAGCCTAGTTGGCTCCCACCAGAGCCTACTTTCCCTATCAAAAGGTAAGGCCCATGGAGAAGCAGAAGTTCAGAGGGCAGCCAACTCGTCTGAAGTCACACCCATTCACACAGGCACTCAGCACTCTAGCTCCTATGTCAGACACTCAGACACCATCAGTTAACGCTGCCCTCCCTTTTCACACAGCACATGTGGAATAATGATGTAAGGCTCTGCAGAGGACACTGAGAGAGAGAAGCCTCTTGACCTGGTGGGTGGCAGTGGACAGAACGGAGGCTGGCGCGCGGCCTGCTGACAAGCCCTGGGAGAGCTGTGAGGAACAGATCCAGGAGCTCAAAGGCCAGTACAGTAGTGGTGTGCTTCTGAGAGTGGCTCCAGCATGCTTAGCTGTCTTCTGTCCCATCGTCAAATGTCAACTGGCCTTAAGCCAGCCTGCCATGGTCACCAGCAAAGGTACCCTGCAACAGAGTGTTGGCCTAGCTGACAGCACAGCAGAAAGGGAAATGCACCCCTTCACCAATTGTTCTAGGTCATTATCACGCTGAGTGTAACAGAGAACAGGAAGTGCCCTATGCCCAGCTTTCAATAAATAAGCAAAACACCTGGAACAGTTCATTCAATAAACCTAAAAATAAAATTTACACAGACCGAATGTGGACATGGTGGTTAGGCTCCATACGGAGTGTCAAGCCAGCTAGGAGGACTTGGCCTGACTGTCTCAAAAACAAAACAGAATAAAAATTTACACAGCCTGGCCTCCACACCAAAAAGGTCATGTTTTCATTTCAGAAAACATCTGCTGAAAAAATGATAGATTCCTGTTAGCTGCCAGCATTAGGCATCGGGATCTTGTCGTTGGTTCTGAGCTCTCATGGGAGCAAACCCTCACCTAGATAAGCATTTTGGAGATATCCCAGCAAAACCCTATCCCTGTATGTAATTGTGGGCGGGGAGGCAGGAGCAAAAGGGCCCAGGCTCTCACACAGCAGCTGGGAAACTGGAAACGACTGGAGCACCTAGAATAATTATGACGTGGGAAACAAGGCTGTGAGGTCCCAGGATGGAGCCACCCTGTGGCCCTGAAGCCCTGTACTGCCCCTGAAGCCCTGTACTGCCCCTGAAGCCCTGTACTGCCCC